AAATTAGTATATTGAAAGACAAGTGTTACAATGCGACCTATTGTAATACGACTATCTTGTGGCACAATGCGACGCCACTCGTGCCACAAGATAGTCGTATTACAATAAAGCATTGTAACACGCGTTTTTCATACTATTTTTTCTATTTCGGTGCTTTAATTTAATTAAAAAAATCATTATCAGATACTATAGGGAACATTAGAACTAACATGTTTTATATCGGGAACACTTTTTATGCCGTTAAGTTTTAGGTTGGGAGCGTAGTAAGACTGACATTTTGAAGTTCAAACATGGAAGTACCCAACGAAGTACCTACTTGTACTAACTAGTAACTGCCAACTTAAGAGATGAGTTACCAAAAAAAAAACGACTATAATCACTGTCTTTGTACAACTGTTTTCGGTCGAAAACAGTTGTACAAAATCATCATTGTGACACCGAAATAGAAAATTTTTTTTATTATTGCTCATAATATTGCTAGAATTTTGTGTGAGCAATCTTGCTATAGTTAGCAATATTGCAAACTTGTTAGTTACAGAATTGGAATGATTGCCCCTAGTCTTTTTCCCAACGATCTTGGTGCATCAGCATAAATAACGATTTTGACGTATTTTGATCAAAATCGATGTGGCTTCAGAAATAGTATTTTACATTATTAGCCAGGTAAGTGAGTTTTTACTGGCGATAGGAGAAGTTGACTGGCGAGCCGTTAGGCGAGCCTATGTCATCTCCTAGAGCCAGTAAAAACTATTACCTGGCGTATAATGTACAATATTTTATTTGTTACTCATTTGTAAACGTAAATAATTAGTTCTTATTGATCTTGAAGAAATGTCTAAAATATCATGTTATCCATGTAACAGAGACTTCGCATTAATTCTGGCCAATGAAATTACTAGATTACTAACTTGTAAAATGTTTACAGGTCTGCTGTCAGTTTTACAAGTCTGCTGTCAGTTTTACAAGTCAGTAGCGTTTAAACATGACGTTTACCCGTTTGCGTTTTGTCTTGTTAATCAACGTTTACAACTGAGTAACAAATAATAGTATATTAAGTATGGAGAACGGTAAGGGATTTTTACCGTTCGAAGACAATTGTTTGGAGGAGGAGCGAAGCGACGACTCCAATTATTGTCTGAGAACGGTAACCCTTAACGTTCGACGTGCTTATAACATTTTTTGCGCGATCGAAATTAAAATTATCAACCAATATAAATATGCACTAAGAAATTAACGAACAGAATAAACCGAAATGATCGAAGTGGTATGGTGTACATCACTAGGTAACCAGTTTATTTGTCAAAATTGAAATTAATAATTTCATAAAATTGTGCATGTGTCTGATGTAGTTTACTAGCTTTGCACTTCCTTTATGACTTTATGAGCGTATTTGCTATAGGCACAAATTGTACGTTTAATGTACCTAACAATAATTAAAGATTAAATGTAATGTAAGACTGTTGATTTTTAAAAAGGCGTCGGTAAGTATTTTTGCTGTTCTGTTTTTAGATCGGTAAGTAATTTTGGCGTCGTCGTAATCATAGCAACTGGTAAATTCTACGTACTGTCATGGAAACACCCATGGTAAATAGTCAGAAATGACCGATCGCGCAAAAAATAAAATAATTTAACATATTTGAATCACACACATGTATAGTTATCAAGTGTGCACGTGATGTACTCTTTTAGCATCAAGATTACAACTCCAAATTTATGTGTAAAGAATAATTTTGGGTACATTTTGCTCTAAAACTTTTGACCTATACCACAGAGAAGAGCTATATTGAATTGTTACACATCTAAGAGTCATTGGGAATAATCTAGCGAAAGTCCGAACGCGATACATGACCTATAGGCAATGAAATATGTTTTTTCTCCGGTTTGGGAGTGGATTCCATGGGCATGGGAAGTCCATCTTTCACTTACATTCATATTGTACATTATAAATTGGAACAACCATACGCTGGTACACATTTCCGTAATAAATCCAAATACGGGATTGTTGTGTTGCACCTTGAGATCATTTAATTTTTTCGTTGGCTGTGTGCGAACGCTTTACTGGACAAAAATCCTTCACGATGCTTTCAAGAAAGTTTAGTAGGTACCTATAGTATTTGAACTTTCTAAAATACTTAAAATATATAAATGATGTTAATTAACTTTAACTTAAAAGCATTTGTATTGTAACTATTATCATAGTATAATACAGACCTGTTATGAAAGGATATTATTTACAAATATTATCTAGGTATAATAGTTATTTATGTATTAAGGGCATAAAAGTGATGTTTATATTCTCGTGGGTGACGAGTTAAAAAAACTCGAGGGCTGATAAGCCCGAGAGCTTTTTAATCGCCCGAGAGTATAAACATCAGTTTATGCCTGTGGTACATACAATATGTCTTACAAATAGTTTTCTTCATCAAAGTAAATATTCGTTTACAAAACAATTCAGTATGTTTGGTCAAGTATGTACGGTTGCCATCCGTCCGGGTTTACCCGGATTTGTCCTAGTTTAGGGGGGGTCCGGGCGGGGTTTCATTGGTAGTCCGGGTTTTAGGCTACTGAGACATCTAGTTTCTGTCAAAATTTAAGCCAACAAGATAAACTTTTAAGCGCCAATCAGCTTTGGTTACAATATTTTAAAACACTGAATCCTCATTCCTCATTTATACATGGAGTTATTGAAAATTGCCTAGTGCTTTTTTTTGCATTCCTGCTCATAATGCCAACGTTGAAAAATGCGAGCGACTTCTGGACCAGGATCATGCTAATGTTGAACAAAAAGTCCTTGCGTTCAACACTGACACGATAGTTTCCCGGAAATCGCTAGCACCTTACGAGAAAGAGAGATTGTAGATCGGAATCAAGTGTTCTGTGACCGGCAATCTTTCCTGGCGAGAGTTATACCTATACCTACATGAAATCAAAATATAATTTTAATTATTTAATTATTAAAATAATTACAAGTAGACTAACTATCATTGGGTAATAATGCTAATATATTGATGTTGGCGCAACGCACGTTGATAGCTAAAAGAAAGTAACATATCTGTCGCGGTATATTTAATTAGCTTATTCTACTCCACTCCGAAGACTGACTCTGAAAATGGAGAGTTATTACTTATACGTAATCAGTACTTGATTTGTAAAATAAAAAGTTCAGGTACCTACGGTACCTTTGTATACAGGGATGCATTTTTTCTGAAATTATTGTTTATTATATATGTTTTATGTTTAGCCCACGCCAAGGATGCACAAAAGTAAAGTAATTACATCCGTGGTTTAGTCTTTAGCCTATCAAATCAGAGGTTCCGGTACTGGGTACACTACAGAGTAGCGTATTATAGCGGTGCGTACAGCGGTGCGTACAGCGTACAGACATGTAATTACAAATTTCTAAAAATCTCGTAAATTAATTATATTACGTAAATTAAGTTAAGTACAATAAAAATCGTAACTTCTGTTCTAAACGTAAAATTTCTAAGTTTATAAAAATAAGCAAGTAGGTAATTTCTCACGCGTTCCCTTCCAAGTTCCAGTGATGAGCAATGTTGCCACTATTGTAATATGGTGTCGCTTCGGTTTTATTATTTCATATTCATTTCAATTCAGCAGGTTTCGCGTGAAGTTAGCATTAAGTACTGTTAACATGTCAATCATAAGTGATATTTAATTTGTTTAAATTCGTAAGTCACAGAAGTGAAACATTTCCTCGTCGACACGACATCGACGTCTACAGTTCCTGCTGAACTCCACGTTATAACCTTTCAACTACGTGTTTTTAATACATAACAGTGCGGGTTATTAAAACATGGCAAAGTTATATAGACGAGAAGAAGTTAAACAACATAACGACAACGAGAATTCCTGGATTGTTATTAATAACAGTATTTATGACGTTACGGCTTTTCTGAATGAGGTAAATTGTGTTTTAAGTGGATTCATTAATCGGTAATTTTGTTCTGAATATCTTATCCAGATATTTTTTTTTAGTGATTGTTGATAGAAATTTGCAATTCATATTTCACTGTAAACGTAACCTCTCAAATTTCAAGGTTCATTCAAGTTGCCTTTCCAGTTGCTACGTCAATATAATTTATTCATTTAACTGTTACTATTAAATAACACTTAATTGAAAAATTAGTGTCAATTGACTAGTTTATGATTCTTAATTACACATATAAAAATAATTACTATTTTTCAGCACCCTGGAGGTGAAGAAGTACTTTTAGAACAAGCAGGACGTGATGGCAGTGAGGCATTTGATGATGTAGGCCATTCTAGTGATGCTAAAGAGTTAATGTTGAAATATAAAATCGGAGAAGTCGTTGAAAGTGAACGTCGACCTGTTAAAGATAAGACAAATACTTGGTCTACTTCGGACGATTCCCCACCACAAAGGTACCTCATTTGTGTGGTCATTATTTAGTTAGCACACTTAGGCCGGATGTCCACCGCATCGGGCCTTACGCTTCTATATTTTCATTTGTAAATTTATTATTTAGTTTTAGTTCGCTGAAGAGCTGGATCTTACCTATCACCATTGGTATTTTGGTGACCATCATTTATCGTTACTATTTCCAATCACATTGAATGGAGGATATTACCCAATCAAATCTGGGGTTAATTTAATTTTATATTTTTTCTTAATTTTGCACTTATAGGTAAATGAAAAATTCATTTTAGTTTAGGATCGGTACCTACCCAAAGAACTCAAATTGATTGCTGTGGATTTTTATGGAGATGGTTAGTTTATGTAATATGGTGCAATTTGTTCATAAGTTAGTTAAGAAATGTTTGAATAATTTTTTACTCTGAACTATGGTGTAAAACGTATTTCTAATATTAATTAATTTTTTTAATTGGACTAATTTTTGATACCTATAGATAAGCTCAATTTCTGTAACCACAACAAATAAAACATATAGCTTTACTATTTACTTAATATTATCTAATCACTTGTTAATGAAGTAAAATAATGAAGTTTAGTTGTTTATGTGGCAAGGATTTTTAGGTGCTTGCTTTATTGCCAAGCATTAAATATACAGTCTGCTACAAAGTAAGCTGGCAGTATTGCTAACTTTCAGAGGAATTTAAAAATCGCAAATTCTTTATAATTTTTTACAAAACATTTTTTTTGCCTGTAGGTGTAACAAAAAACTAAATTAAGAATACCCACTACGAGGGCTATCCAGAAAGTAACAGACGTTTTGAAATAAATTTGGTAAAATTTATAATAAAGTCTGGGGACACGAAACAGGGCTCTACATGCGTAGGCTATTTTTCAACATAGTCTCCATTCATATTGAGGCACATCATAGCGTGGTACGTACAAGTGTCCGGTTGACATTGTACCATAGATAGCTTTTGTTTTTTTTTAATTCATCAGACTACTTCATTAAAATATAAAAACCCTTGATATAATTGGTACCTAACTTATTTTCAATCTTATCAAGTAATCCAATTTGGCGCCTATTTAACTTTGAGAAGTTGGTCAATGTTCCTCAAAAGTAGCCATCTTGAATTTGTTGTTGACGTCAATTCTAAATTAAGCGTATCAAAGACAGTAATTTTTATATAAAACTTTTTTTATATCTCTTATACTTTCGATGATATAAGATATAACTGATATAAGGAAATGACTAATTTTAGTTTTTTTGAATTTATGTCGAACCTATTCGACATTTTGAATTTCCACAAGGAAATTTTAAATATTTTTTTATTTTATTTCATTGCCTTCATTTTATAGTGGGTGTAGTGTTAGCAATTTGCTACTTTTCCCACTCAACCCACTATACGCAATCACAAACAGCCATGCCTTACCTGGGATTCGAACCCAGGATCCTTAGCCAAAGTTAATTGAGCTACTAACGTAAGCTCATCTGAGCTACGCAGGTCGGCCAAAAATTAAAAAAATAAGCATCGAAAACTGCAAAACATTGTCCATTTAACTAATTCTCTATCTTTAATAATATGAAAGTTACCCACGCGATCTGGGACAAACTGTATAGTAGTAAATTCAAACAAGAGTGTGTCGGACACGACACGAGCAATCACGGTTAAGCCACTCGTCACTGTAAGTTAGGCATTACTTTTATTTTACCCGTAAAACGTAGGCTATGCGTATCAAACAAAAACTCATTGAATGTTGCACTTTACAACAAAGTCGATAACAAATTAAAATCTCTGCCACTAAATTTGTTCAACATTCAAATTAAAACATTTTTATTAAAGAACTGTTTTTACGGTATTGATGAGTAAATGGCCGTCCCTACATGCACATACCTACATGATTTTTTTATGTTAGTATTGTGAATGTGACGTAACCAAACAATTTTTAAATTGAATGGGTTTAATAAAAGTTATTACAAAAAAAATTATTATATAATATACAGGGTGACAATTTGAAAACTTACCACCCCCCATATCTTAGTAAATAAACGAGATATTTAAAAAAATCAAAATCCGTTTCGGTAATTCGGAGGGGAATCACAATGACATAGTTGGCGACGCACCCCCTCCAACCCCCTGCGCCCCAGCCACCCCAACTTTTAAATCTTAAATAGTGACCCCCCATGTGTGATACGTCGTTGGAAAGCTCTGAAAAAATGCTTTCCAACCATACCAAATAGCATTACATTTAGGTTACTAATTATCGTGCAAATCAAAAAATAAACTAATATGATACATTTGAAATCTGTCGTATTTAAAACGCAACCGGCGAACATAGACGAACTAAGACAGAGAATAATTCAAGAATGTCGAAATATTGCAAAACCAACATTTGAAAAGGTTCGACAAGAGTTTGAGAATAGATTATAACTGGCAATCAAAAATGAGTTGCTGTCTAGTCGGCTTTGGAAGTTCAAGTTAAATACGATTTTCCATGTTTATTTTTTGATTTGCACGATAATTACTAACCTAAATGTAATGCTATTTGGTATGGTTGGAAAGCATTTTTTAAGAGCTTTCCAATGACGTATCACACATGGGGAGTCCCTATTTAAGATTTAAAAGTTGGGGTGGCTAGGGCGCAGGGGGTGTGAGGGGGTGCGTCGCCAACTATGTCATTGTGATTCCCCCTCCGAATTATCGAAACGGATTTTGATTTTTTTAAATATCTCGTTTATTTACTAAGATATGGGGGGTGGTAAGTTTTCAAATTGTCACCCTGTATATAATATGTATAAGTACATAGTTATACAGGGTTTCCGGGATATGGAGCTATATAAATAAAGTTTCAATCGAGTAGAGTCATAAAAATTGCATTTGAGATGGTTTAGAACTTTCACACACTGGGGAGTTTTGTCGGGGGGTGTCGCCCCCAAAATTTTTAAATTACAGCTCTTGTCCAGTTTCACAGAAACACATTCCCGATCTTACACCATTCAATTTTTTTCTTGCGATAGGGGTTTGCAAAAAATAGAGTGTACCTATGAACCAAATCTAGAAACAATAATAATGATTCGAAAAAATCATTGAAATAAAAGACTAAGGAAGGAGCTCATGTATTATTAGCTAGGATCCTGTAATGTTCCTAGGGGGTCTATCAAGCCTACACTGGAAACGTTGACTTACTCTATACTTACGGTTGGCAACTCTGGCAAAAACTACAAGCAGAGCCACCTACCTTTCAAGTCGAAACGACGGTAGGTTCGCGGCACTTTTGAATTTGGATGACAGGCGGTTCGATATGGGTGGCACGAATGGACTCCTACGTTGGGTAATCGGTTCTTTTATGTGTTGGGACGTGAGACATAATCGGGAAGGGAATTAAATAAAGAACTTTTGTGCGTAAGAAATGACAAGAACAAATATATTACGCACACACAAGACCATGCCAGGGAAACCTTCTACGGGACTAAAACCCTGGCACAGGCCACACAAATACATGAAATAAATCACATACAGCAATAAAATGCAAGAGAAAATACACATAAATAAAACATCTCAAATGGTATGATAAAAATCAGATAATCAAATCAAATGCAATTAAACAAGTTCATAAAAACAAAATACACAAGACATCGCATAAATGCAGTGGAAAACATGATAAATCAATTCAGTACAAAAACACATCAAAATACCTGTACGATCAATAGAGATAACACAACTCGTCAAGTAAACAAATTGCATGTACATAGGAAACATGTAAATGGTGTGGCTCTACTCCATCCTTCAGTTAACATAATTTAATTTACCACGAAAAGTACATGTGAGAATGCCATTGGTCAATAGCAAGTATTCATGTGAAAATCGATTATCGCTCAAGCAGAACATATTTTAAATAGAGGAAATGTAAATGAGAGGGCCCCCACTCGTATTGCTAAGATGTTAAGAACTACAATCCGCACGAGACGAGTAAGCAACAGATACAGCGAAAGATCTAACTGCATTAGGTACCCATACAGCACACATTCATCACAATTCTCATGTGTATCTGTTAAAATAATGTTTCACTATATATACACAATGTAACACAATAACATGAGGTGGCATGTGATAACGTGTCTACAGCATCATCAGTATCGGTTCCACAAAGGTTAAACGTCCGCCTCACAATGTATACACAACATCAGTGTTTACATATGCACAAGGTACATATGCAAACAATGTAATGATGTGGTCACAACATTAATGTGATACAGTAAGATTATGGAACCAAGTAGTATATGTGGAACGTATACTAAATGTGCGCGCACACTTCATGTGATATGTAACCAAACGAGAATAATTCTTATGTATACACAATAAGAGTAAAATTTACTCCATTTCATTTCTAGTGCCCAGAATGTACACAAAATAAATGCATCATATAGATATATTATATTCATATAATATATTTACATAGATATGTGTAACAAACATTACTGTTGTAGTTTGCTGGCGGTTCTTTTCTCTGCCATTTTAAGACGTTTCAATTCCTTCGATTCTGCAAGCCGATTCTTTGTCAACCGCAGCCATTCTCCTACTGCCGAGTCTGTAAGACCGCGATCTAATTGTAAATTCGCCAATTGAGCTTTTGGCTTCATTGCATCTAAAAGAATAATACGATATAAATATAAAAATACGATCAAAATTAAAAATATTTTTATAGAAGGTTGTGTTCCACTGTTTCGTAATGATTTATACAAAGTATCACAAAATGTTACGAGATATCGTTTACAAGATTTTGTGTTGATTTACTTTAAGTAATTAGAAAAATTGTACTTACATATAATATTGCACAACTCAATTGCTTTGCTTTGTACAACAGACTGACAAGAAGAGCAACCCGCTAAAAATAAAAGTAGCATTCAACAACGTGATACGTGATTCTTATATCACTACGGAATGCACCCAAAGCAGTGGTGTAACGTAAAAAAATTATTCTGTGAATATATTTGTTATAATTTCACATTTATGTTAAACAATCGTTCAAGTAGCGATTCTATTCGCACATTGTAAAAAAAGTATATCAAAATAAGCACATTAACATTAACTCGATGATTTTG